AGAGAGAGAGAGAGAGAGAGAGAGAGAGAGAGAGAGAGAGAGAGAGAGAGAGAGAGAGAGAGAGAGAGATGAGCGATACAAGTTTGGTTGTCACGTACCTGTGAAGTGCGCCGTGCAGTTCCATGAAGTGAAGAGGCGACCATAGCCGCGGAGCTCGACCACAGAGTGACGAAGGAGGTGAAAGAACCGGGGAGAGTGAAGGAACCATAGCCGGAGAAGGTGAAGGGAGAGGCAAACAAAAAAAAAGAGAGAAAAAAATAAAAGAGAAGACAGACGGGGTGAAGGAGGAGGCGAGGCAAAGAGAAGGAAGGAGAAGGGCCGCGAGGAAGGAGAAGACGGCAGCCATAGCTGACCGGAAGAGTTGACCGGGGGAGTTGACCGGGGGAGTTGACCGGAGTTGATCGGGAGTTGACCGGGAGTTGACCAGGGGTTGACTGCAGCGTTGACCAAGACTGTTGACCACGATTTTGACCAAGTTGGAGCCGGTATAATCTCGCCAAGCCTTCAGCCTATCCCCTCGCCCTATGGATGTGCACACACCCTGTGGTACTTGCTGAGTCAAGTCTGTCTGCCTCTTCGTTCTGCATTGAGTCTCTTCGGTCCAGGTGATAGGAACTCTGTGGATGAAGGATAGGGCCTTGTTGACCAAACCCACACGGACTGAGTAGGTCTAATGACTGTGTCTGACGACTCGACTGTCCCGGAGGACACGAACCCTCCCAAGGACCGGTACTGACCGGCGGGCTGCTCGGTGTGGCATGGTAAGCCCAAAATCCGAGCTGTGGGCTGCACAACAGGCCGTCTAAGTCTTGAGAGGACCTGCTGATTGCGTCGTCCTGTCTGCGACGTTAAAGAATTCTGAGGAGTTACGGGGGATCTCCTTAAATGCCTCCTGATCAGCAACAGGTCCTGTAGTGACAACCTTAGAGTAGGTCTAGGCTAGAGACCCTAATTGACAGGATCCTGTCCGGATTTTGTGGTCCTTAGATTGAGTTAGTAGGTCTTGTCAGTCAAGGGTAAAGTCTATGTGGTGAGGAGTGGAACCGTTGTCTGGTTGTGCACCTAGCACCATGGTGGACACGCGTAGTGGAAAGAGCACTTCCCCACAGTCCGAAGCCGAGCACGCTCGGATCGCCGCCATCCTAATAGAGAGAAAGGAAAAGAAGGAGTTCCTTAAGCAAGCGAAGCTGAAGGTTATAGCGGAGGAGCAAGCAACAAAGAAGAAGAAGTTGGAGGAGGTGATGTTATAGTTGCAGTAGGAGGAGGAAGAGAAGAGGAAGGCTGCTTAAGAAGAAGCAGCACCAGAGGAAGAAGTAGAAGAAGAACCCCTCGAGAGAAGGCGTAGGGAAGAGAGAGGGGAAAGCAGTGGCACGAAGGAGGAAGACAAATGGATGGAGAAATAGATTAGTGAGTGGGTGGCTAATTTATCGTTGGGAGAGGATGAGGAGGCGTTGTTGTACGTGCCGCAGGAGGAAAGGGAAGCATTTGCTAAGGAGCTAGAGGCAAAGGAGGACCCCCTGGAACGCCAGACCATGAAAGATGAGAAACGTTTGGAGTGGAAGTTGCGGCTGGCAAGGTAAAAGAAGAGAAGGAGGGAGGAAGCCAACCGGATAGCCAGAGAGGTGGAGAGAATCCGGGCATGCAGGCAAGAGGTTCAGGCACAAGCAAAGACCCTCGCGAAGTTAGATAAGATCCTGGGGTACCTTGAGGTTCTGAGCGAGGCCTGGCTCGAGGAGCATCAGGCCAACAAGGGTCAAGATGTGACCCTTCATGCCATCCGGTCTAGATTTAGAGAGTTTGCGCGCAACGTGGTAACCCACGTCGGGACCGAAGTCAAAAAACTGAAGGAAGGCACCGAGAAGTTCTGTGTCGGCGCCATTGAAGGCGCCAAAGTAGTGGCCACAGCAGAGGCCGCGGCGCATCCCCGCAAAGAGCCTGTAAAGCTCAAATTCCCTGACGCTTATAGCGAGAAAAAGGACGATAGTTTCGATAATTGGGAGGCTAGCATTAATACTTACGTGTATTTACAACATATTGCGCTAGAGGAACAAGTCCTCGTAGCCTTCCACGCGTTGAAGGACGAAGCGGCCAGCTTCGCCAGGTCACTTGTGCGCGCCGCTGATTGTGAGCATAATATGATTGCATATTCTAGGCTCACCCCTCTTTCCACTTTCCTGCAACTCCTGCGTGAGAGGTTCGCTGATGTCACAAGGGGCGTCAGGGCCTCTGACAAGCTCCAAACCATCCACTCGAGACAGTGGAGGAGTGCGCGAGCAATCAAAGTTGTCATGGACGACTCGGTAGCCGCCCGGGACCAGGGGGTCACTAAGACCCAGTTGGTCCAATTATTTTATCGTGCCATGCCAAAGCCCTTGCGAGGGCATTTCTTCGATAAGACCCAACAGGCCAACATCACGTACGATGCGTTAAGTAGAGAATTGGTCCTGTTTGAGGCCAAGTCCATGCCAGTTTCCATTTTCTGGCACAAGGACTTAGACAAGGGAAAGAAGTGGAAGGGTCGTACCATCTCTGGCCAAGTCAAGGCCAAGGATCATCTGATCCTTACGTTAGACGAAGGTGGTACAGATGAAGTCCCCTACAGTCAGATTGAGTAGGGGCTCGAGGAGGAGGACAGTAGTGTAGGTCAGGGGAGGACCTATGCTGCTGTCGCGCCCCCACTGCTTCAAGGGTCCGGTGAGATATCCTTCCCCGGACCGAGCTCAGTGGGTTGGAGGACTGGCAGGCTGTCACACAGGAATTTTTGATAGGTATGAAAATAGGGCTTGTATTCAGAGACAGTCACACTTTATCACATAGCCGAGTAGTCAGGGTTATCCCTCCTGCCAGGGGCAACACGGCTTAGAGTGAGGCATTTGGGTTTATCGCCTGCACCTGACCCCGTATAAAGGATAGACCCAAGGTCACCGGAGTCCCTATCATTCAGGAGTCCTTCAAGCTGCCTTGAGTGTAACCTGTATAAAGGAGGAAAATAACGAACATGCATCATACATCATAGAGCACTTGACACTGACAACATGAGAAGACCAGAAACCAGACTCTGCAAGAGCACGACCAGAGAAAAGAGACTGAAGAGTAGTTCACAGAGTATGCAGGGAGCAGCCATTGGAGGGGCTGCAGTCACTAATAGATAATAATGTGGTAATACATCATAGTGACTGAAAAGAAAGAACCTCAATCAATGATAATAAGCAGTACCCCCTCGTGAGTAAGTCCTGTCGTCTGGGACTCCTCGTCATTGAGAACTTGCGTGGCTATCGACTCTAGAACCACGTAGCTGATGTCGAGAGACGCTGCTGGATCAATCTTGCACATGTAGGCCATGCATCTAGCCATCTCCTCGTCTGCGACGCTCCTGAGATAAAGCTCCTCCGCAAGAATGATATCGCCTGAAGCTCCAATCAATATCTCAATACGTCCTCTCCCACCAGAGTAGATGTAGGAAACCTCGAGAAAGCGATCTCCGTAAAGAGGCTTTCAATAAGCCTGCATAGCAAAGTCTGTCCCGACCAAATGACTATAGCCATCTCCGAGGTATGGGACCGGACCCTCCCCTCTTGGGGGACCAATAGCTGTCTCAGACCTAGGGTCGTCTGACATGTAGGAGTCAATCACCCTCAAAAAGATATTGTGCAAGAAGATGTGCGATCCTCCTCAATGTCGCCCTCCGACGTCTCCGCTCACTGGTCTCCAGCGCTCCTGTCGCCGTCCACAAACTCAACCCCTGTGAGTGTCCCAGTCGAAATAATCGCCAAGATCAAGGTCACTCACAGAGCAGGGCTCCAAATCCGACTCATCTGTCTCTGATTTCGGGGCACACGTAGTGATTGGGACTCCGGATCCGGTCGTCCTTCCGCTTCTTCTCCTTGCTGCGGGGCTCACTAAGGGGCTTGGGGTTGCATCCATCAAAATCGAAAAGCACACCCCCAGGAGCTGAAGGTACGCGAGGGAACACCACCTGCAGCCAGTTGTCCCTCCAATAGCTCTCCCTGCGAAATATGTAATCCGCAATCCTGTCGTACGTGGTGCCCTTCACTCCCGTCTCTGCCCCCTTCACCGAGAGGGTGATCACGAGCGTGTGTCTCGAGGTCGAGGACTCATTAGCCCTGATAGTGAAACTCTGATGTCCCGCATGTCTGTAGCAGAATCCCTCAATCAATCTACCCCACTTAGGCGAAGTTAGGGGTAGTCTCACGACGTCGGGCCAGCTTGGATGGAATGCACGCTCTCACTGATGCAGATACTCCCTCCAAGACCTGGCCGGATAGCAATCAGCAACTAAATGTGGAGGCCTGTCTGAATGGCCTGACTGCAACTCGATATAGGGCTCGCTAGAATGGGCCCGGCTGAACAGCAACTCAATATAAAGCCCACCTGAATGGGCCCGGCTGAACAGCAGCTATCTCAGAAGAAAGGGCCCACCTGAAGGGGCCTGGCTGAAAAACTGCAACAATCTCGAGAGGTGGGCCCGCCTGAAGGGGGCCCGGCTGAACAGCAATAATCTCAAGTAGGCCCGCCTGAAGGGCCGGGCTGAACAACAACAATCTCAAATAGGCCCGCCTGAGGGGCCCGGCTGAACAACAATAATCTCAAGTAGGCCCGCCTGAAGGGTCGGGCTGAACAACAACAATCTCAAATAGGTCCGCCTGAGGGGCCCGACTGAACAGCAATAATCTCAAGTAGGCCCGCCTGAAGTGTCGGGCTGAACAACAACAATCTCAAATAGGCCCGCTTGAAGGGCCCGGCTGAACAGCAACTGATCAGTATAACATCTCATGCACAGGGACCAGTCATAGATGTTGAATGTACTGGGGCTAGACTGAGCCAGATCATCTGTGCAGGGACTGAACTGCCAATGCTCCCCGTGCGAGGGAAAGAATCACGTGCATGAGGTGATGCTGATCAGCAAGGAAATAAATCAACGGGAGCGTGATGGTAAATCATCCCAGCTAGCAATCCTATGCTTGGGCATATATGGGCTCGCACTCAAACGACTATATCTAGCCTGGGCGCACACATATCCAGTGCAAGTGCACATGGGCGCGTGCTCAAATCACTATATCGAGCCTGGGCGCACACGGGCGCGCATTCTAATTGCTATGCCAGGCTTGGGCGTGCATGGGCGCGCACTTTAACTGCAATACCAAGCTTGGGCGTGCATGGGCGCGCACTCTCAAGCTTGGGCGCGCATGGGCGCGCACTCTAACTGCAATATCAAGCTTGGGCGCGCGTGGGCGTGCACTCTCAAGCTTGGGCGCGCACGGACGCGCACTCTAACGGCAATATCAAGCTTGGGCGCGCATGGGCGAGCACTCTTAAGCATGGGCGCGCACTCTAATAGCAATATCAAGCTTGGGGGCGCATGGGCGCGCACTCTCAAGCTTGGGCGCGCATGGACGCGCAATATCTGGTCAGGGCGTGCGCGGGCGCGCACTGAAAATAAATATCTGATCTGGGCGCACGCGGGCACGTACGAAAAATAAATATCTGATCTGGGCGCGCGCGGGCGCGCACT